TTGACAAGAATTTTCTTTGTCTACATTTTTTTATTCGCTCTCAATGTGATCAGTTTGAGTCTACATAGGTCTAGTAGGCTTTTACTTTGAAGTCAGACTTTTTGGCATTTTAAGAGCTGATTCAATTTTCTTTATGATTACTTTTGACTTTTGTTCTTCAGAATTATATTATACAATAGACATCTGTAAGGTGTATTCTGGTTCAATGCAGAAACCTGTACTAGACTTTCCTTTGTTGTCTTATATTTATCCCTCTTTTTCCAGAAATCAAAAATTATTTTACAGAAGACCTATTTGCACTGTGCAATATTGCATTCTGTGTTAATATTTTACTCTCTGCACTTTTTTTGACAATGTTGAATTTTCTGTTGCAGTTTGTAATCCTTTAAGTATAGCTGGTGAGATAGTAATGGTAATTATTATTAATGGTAATAATAACATCCTCTGGATGTTGGGAAGAGGTAACATCCCCATGATGGGTTACCAGAGCAATCTGAATGTATGTGTCCTGGCTAAAAACGTTGTTATTATATCACAATATATATAAGTAGATGTAAAATAAAATTACAATGAGAGATATGCATACATCTATACAATTATTAGACACATTAAAATGTCATAGCAAGTGCAAAGTAAACTATAACTGAAAACAAAACAATATAATCAAAGCAAAATCTTATACCCACAAATATATAAATTTAGATAACAAAATAATGAGACCCTATCCCAATGTTTCAACAGCTCCTGTTGTCTTTCTCAAGGCACAAGTTGTAAAAACGACATACAAAAATCAGCTTTTGTCACCTTCTGTGAGAAGTGCCTCAAAATATTCCGCTCTAGTGGTTATGATGTCAGGAATAATCTCAACTAAGGTTGAGTTACACCTCTAGCAGGGGAGGTGATAAACTCCATATGTGCAGTGTTTTAAAGTGAAATGTTGCACATATAGACTCATGACACCATGACCACTTTAAATCACTGAAGAGGGCATCATCCTTGACGTAACCCTTTAATTTGCTTTATATATTTCCTGCAAAAAATGCAATAATGTTGTAAAACAGATGGCACATTATAATGTAATATTCTTATTATATTGTTGTTTTTTTACTATTAACACACCGCTAATACTAACATTATAATGTTAATCTTAAAATATTTTAGATATGTGTTGACTGTCTTTTGTTTAAATGCCAGTCAGAAATGCCTGGAGTGTATATATCAGAGGATTGTTGGATGGAGTTTATTGGTATTAGGAAGGGTCGAATCTCTACATGTGCCAATAAATTGCCATTTAAAAAACAAATTAACTGCAATTTTGAATCAAATTTCAGAGTTTACAATGAAGATGTACCTTTGATGTCTTTAACAGTTAGTTTTGTTTGCGTTCATTCTGTATGATCTTCCAACAAAAGTATGGCATAAGCTAGAAATGTGTGATTGTAAAAGAGTATGAACATCTTAACTACTGGTTGCTATAACTATAGTGTCCTTCAGATTCCCACTGTCCTTCTGGTCCTCTCAATATAGCTAAAAGGGAAATGGTCATTGACCTTTAGTGATATCCGTTTTATGAAACTTTTTACTTCCTTCGTTGGCTGACAGTATCATCTGACACTCACCTAATGAATGAAGTAAAAAGTTCCATATAAATCTAAATTGAATTGACCATTTCTGATTGAGTCATGCAAAGACAACCAGAAGAACTATGGGTACCTGGAAGACCCAGGTAATTGTCAAACCACTTTAAATTGATTTAACTACTTACTATAGAATGGCTCCAGGGGACCTCGTAGCACCATGAACACTATAGTGGACTGTGGTTATTATGGTGGTTAAAGATTACCAATGAGTGAATGTATTTATTACACCAGCATGATTCTTTACCACAGTGATTGGCATAAATAATGACAAAATATTTTAATATCCTTTACTAAAGAGTATGATTGACTGTCCATGTCATTCATAGACGATGAGCATGAAGTAATTCTATATGTAAGCATCTGTCATTTCTACACACAATATCGGGGGGGTTGTGCTATACTAGATCACCATTTATTTTTACCCTTCCTAGTTTCTTGACACACACTTATAACAGCAACTGTTAATATTCTATTGTGTGCTATTCTATAAACAACCTCTGTCACCTTTCTGTGGTTTAGTCATTTAGTCCCTTGTTGTTATTAGCACTTTCTTCTTCCTTTTTCCTTTTTTTGTTTTTTCTAGTTACCTTGTGGCTTTTGAATTTCACAGCTCCTTTGTCAAAGCTGCACGAAGTACATGTAGTAAGATAACCTCCTATAAGAAACTGGGTCATTTTACCTTTATTTATGCTTCCATTGTACTCAAGTTCAATTCATAATGCCAAATTTCATAGCAACTATTTTGTAACCTAGCAAAATTCATCTTTGTTTAACATGGCTCTTACATGTTTTCTATAAATGGCAGTAGATTGAATTCACAACACGAAACAAAATAAATGCTTGCGTTAGACAAAGCTAAAAAAAAAAAAATTCTAATGCTCAAATCATTCAGGGAACCCACTTAGTAATTGAAAATGCCCCAAATTACACAACAAATTTCCCTGTGGTTTGTCATTCTCAAACAAAAAATCATAAAGTAGGAAGAAAAAGTAAAAATACTGTTTGGAATTGGATGTTTTCTTTGCATGAATTGTTCATAAAGTATAATCTCACCTTCACAAGTATAGACAAACACAAAGTGATTACAATAACAATCTACAAAAAAGTTATAATATTTTGTGTCTTTATTGAACACATCCCATTACATATTGCCAGCGCTGTAGAAAAATTAAGTGAATACTTGGATTGAATAGTGAATTACTCTTCTTTAGGCAGCAATAACCTCAACAAGTGTTCCCGGTAGTTGCGGATTAGAACTCCACAACACTTTTCCTTATAGAACTGCTTCAGCTCAGTGATATTTTTGGGATGTCTGTTGTGAGATCATTAAAGAGCATCTGTTTGGTGTTAAGGTTTGAGCTCTGACTGGGCCACTCCAAAAGGTAGATTTTATTTTTTTGAAGCCATTCTGTAGTGGAGTTACTTTGATGTTTAGGATCAATATCATGCTCCATCACCAAACTTCTGCTGTGCTTCAGCTAGTGCACAGAAACCCTGATATTATCCTTTAGGATATTTTGATAACCTTGGGCATTAATTGTTCCCTCAATGATGGGAAGTGGTCTAGGCCCAGTGCAATAAAACACTGTTAAATAATGAACCACTATACATAACAATTGGCATGATGTTTTTCCTACTGCCAACAAGGCTTAAAAAATGGTGGATGCCTCCCACACCACCGACCCATGCAGTGCAAGCCTGGAAACAGAGCTCCAGATGAACCTTACGTTCTTTTGGGAGAAATTGGAGGCTCGCATGCAACCCCCGGTGCCAGAGACTCAGCCCAACGACCTGCCACAGAGCCCATCACAGGTGGACAAGCGGAGGGAAGCAGTAACCCCCCCTAATTATACACCCACGAGAGGCCAGCACCTGCAAGGGTCATCTCAGTGCCATACTCATGGAGCCTTACAGAGAGCATCAGCAGACCGGGTCATTGTCCGGAGCCCTGGGAGGGCCCAAGAGAAAATGCCTAAGGCCACCTCACCTGTGAGTTGAGACATGACATAAATCCTGGAGGGGCATATCTAGCCCGAAACGACTGGTGAAATGGCGGGGCACGAGGCCCAATAAGGCAACAGCATCAGGTGGGCCCTCCCGGAGCCATGGCAGCCCGCGGTCAGGCTATAAGCCATACCTAGCATCAGGGAATGCAAGGAGGACTCTGTATACCCCACCAAGCTCACATTCTCATTGCACAGGGTTTCTACACACCTTTACTCTTGGGTTACCGAGCTGGATGCATCGATCAGTACAGTGGGGGTACACTCGGCCCCTGCAGGACAACAGCTGATCCAAGAATCAGGGTTGGGACTCTACACCAGGCAAAGTGCCTACTGCTTCGTACCTCTATGTACTTAAGTTGAACACTCATATGCGTTTAGTTTTAGCTACAGCAAATTTATTGATCTTCTTTGGCTGATCATGGGGATCGAAGGGGGGTATCACTCTAAGTTAATTGATTAAATGTGAAAAGAACAGAGATAAAAGATGGCGCTATAAATAATAAAATGTAGAATATCATATATAAAAAACCAGTGCAGCACACACAATTAACCACCCAAGTGTATAGTCACTGTATAATACTTACATACAAGGATAAAATAAGAGAGGACGGTGGTTGCGCACACAATGAATGATATCTTTGGTTAAAATAGAGTCCCTAGGTTCTGTAAACATAAAAAACCATCATAGGGCAATATATCTTAAACTTAAATAAAATATAAGGAAAACTTGGAAAACTCACAATATTTAGAGCCTTTCTGAGTTGGCTCTAAACTTTTAAAGCAGATTTGTCAGCCTGGTGTAGGTAATGCAATATAGGTCCCTTAGAAAGACATCAGACAGTCTTCTTTGTGCAGAAAATCAGGAACCAGGATCACCAGATGAATAAAAGGTAAGTACTTTAATTAGAAAATAATAAAAATACAGCACAACGCGTTTCGACCTAATGCAATAGGTCTTCCTCAGGTGCATAGCATAAGACAAACATCCAAACAACATTCTTATATACCATATAAAATAAATATAATTACTGGTAAAATATTAACAGCTGTAGAGTCCGTCCTATCTTCGGAGTGTTTCCGGCACGAAAACGAGTGTGTATGCCTCCTCCAAGATGGCCGCCGTATAGTATTGTCCATATAGGTACGCGTGACCTTCCCAAGATGGCCGCGCGTCGTTTCCATGTGGTTGCAAATCGTCACTTCCGGTTTCGTGTAATTCCGGTCACGTGATATGGCTTCCGATCACGTGACACCGAAGGGGGCGTGAATAACATACGGACGTATTATTGGTTCAAAGGAGTGTCACTCTTATCACTCCCAGTTCATATTTCAAGTCCATTTAAACATACAAAATTAAAGAAGAGAAAAGGAGAGAAAGAGAGATTTTTGTATAAAATCAAGATCATATGGAATATCCAACAATTGGTGGATATTCCATATGATCTTGGTTTTATACAAAAATCTCTCTTTCTCTCCTTTTCTCTTCTTTAATTATTTACAGAAACATATATGCTGTAAATAAAGATATTTCCATAAAAAAGAAGGGGGAAACAGTAATAGGAACATATTAATAATTAAAAAGGACATGTAGCTTAAAACTTATAGTGGAGTGAGGTATAATACTAATCAACAAAAAGTTATAAAGGAAATAAAATTGGTATAAAAGTATATAAATAAATATATATATAAAAATAGCAGACAGTAATGAATGATAAAAATACAATATTATATAAAATTAAATAAATCAAAATCAGCATTTAAACCATTTGGAGTTAGGGTTTTTAAGTTAAAAACCCATTCCATTTCACATTTTCCCAGAATATTTTGTATATTACCTCCTCTCCATGGAATAGTGCATTTTTTTTATACCAATACATTTTAAATGTCCTGGATCGTTGTTATGGATAGAAAAATGTTTGGATACGGTGTGGTTTTGGTATCCATTTGTAATGTTACGGCAGTGTTCGCCTAGTCTTGTTTTTAGGCTCCTAGTGGGCATGCCAACATACTGCAAACCACATGGGCATTTCAGGAGATAAATTACATTCTTAGATGCACAAGTGATAAAATCTTTAATATATATTTTGTTGGTTTTATTTGATTTAAATTGTGTGGTTTTTTATTTAGTGGATTGGTTGGTGCATTTACAAACCTTACATCGTTTGCACTTACAGAACTCTTTGGTATTGGGTAGGAGGCGGGATTGGGGTTTTACAACATCCTCCCTAGTGAAGTAAGAAGTTAAGATTGATTTGAAGCTAGGGGCTCCCCTAAATACAATACTAGGTCTTTCTGGTATAATTTCTTTTAAAATATCATCTTGTTTAAGCAAATGCCAATGTTTCTCTTTTTATTTTTTTAAGATGATTACTTTTATTGTTAAAATTAAATATGATGGGGAGACTGGGGTGGTTGTTGGAATTTTTTTCTTTAGAGTTTAAAAGTTCTGTTCTTTCTTTAGTTCTAATAACATCTATAGTATTGTTAAGGGTATCCAACGGGTAATTTTTTTCTTTGAATTTGTCTCTTAAAAACTCTGCTTGCTGATTAAAATCTTCTATCTGAGAGCAGTTTCTCCTTAATCTTCCTCACTTAGACAACACACAATTCACACTATCAGTACCAACCCCAACAAAAATACCGCACTACCTCACGTAGAGAACTTTCTAAATATGCACAATCATCTGATTACTATAATGTACCCAGTCCTATAATCAAACCAACATCACCCAAACCCCAAAGAACAAGGTTCACCAACCAAAGGAGAAATGAATATCTCAATCCCCAACAGGCCCGGACTGGCCATCGGGCATACCGGGCAAATGCCCGGTGGGCCGCGATGGCCGTGGGGCCGAGGCCGGCAGGGAGATCACAGGATCTCCCCGGACGGCCCCTGCAGGGCCAGCGCTACCCGAGCGCCGGCCCCGCTGTGTGCCTCCATGGGCCGGTGGGGAGATCAAAGATCTCCCTCACCGGCCCACAGACAGGGAGATGCGGCCGCCGGCTGGGGAGAGAGGGAGGGAGGAGAGAGGACCCAGCGGAGCTCTTACAAGCAGCTCCGCCGGTCCTCTCGCGGGATTCTGAGCGTTGCTGTGGCAACGCTCAGATCTCGCGAGAGTGAACTCTAACCTCCAGGTTAGAGTTCACTCTCACCACTGGACCACCAGGGAAGGCAGCATGGCTCCCACCTCCCCAGGCATAACGGATCTCCTCCTCCCCCTCCCAGGATAAAGGTAAGAAGGGAGGGGGGGGGGGAATAATTTTTTTTATTTTTATTAGTAAAAAAAAAAATATTTAAATTTACATAAAAAATACATTCACTCACACACACAGCACCCCCCATACACAGCCCCCAGACACACACAGCACCCCCCATACACACACAGCATCCCCCAGACACACACAGCAGCCCCCAGACACACAGCACCCCCAGACACAGCATCCCCCAGACACACACAGCATCCCCCAGACACACACAGCAGCCCCCAGACACACAGCACCCCCAGACACAGCATCCCCCAGATTTACAGCACCCCCCAGACACAGCATCCCCCCCCATACACACACAGCATCCCCCAGACACACACAG